TAGACCATTGACCTCGCATCCCTACAAAGCCGGGACGGAGCACGCCGGGTTCTCACCGGACCAGGCTCTCTACCGCGGGGGTGATACAAAGTCAGGAACGAAACGATGAAACCGATCGCGCGGACCGTGCTGCCGACTCTCCGCCGACTTTTGTGGCATTGCCGTCAGGCTCGAGGAAGGCAGGCCCCCCTATCTGAAGATGTGGGGTCCCACCGACCCCCTGTCTTCTGTGCCCCAGGATCTGCAAAAGAAGTGACAACCAAAGCTTGTTGATTCGGGTACATGTAGCATACCGTGGTGTATGGTGCTGGTCTGCCTGTTAGCCCCGTTTGTGGAGCCCGTGAATTGGTACGGTAGTCAGTACGTGGGGGCCTTGTGAGGAGCAAGGTAGTCAGCACGTTTACCTCTACCTGCTTTCGGTGGTGTTGCGGGCTCGGAGGCATTGTATGGAGGCGTTCGTATCTGACCTTCAGTATTCCTTCTCTGTCGGCACCCCCACCCCGATTTGGATCCGCTTTGTGGCGGAGGCCCTAACGGCTTCTATTATAACGCCTTCCTAAGTGAGACGTCTAGGATCTTTATGTATCATCTTCACGAGAGGAAGACAAAGGTCCATGCTATAATAGGATGGAGCAGCGAAAGCAGCTACGCAGGGTGCCCGTGTATCATCACGTTGCCCCTACCGCCTTTTGGCAACGTTTAATGCAAACCGTTCGGCAGAGATGTTCCATGCAAAAGTGCGAATGATCGCACACTACCCCAGTCCGATTGACTTTGAAAGAGCTCGACTATTCCATAACCAAGACAGTGGCAAGAGGGCCTAAACGTGTGTAGTGATTGGTCTCATCAAGGTGATTCTTCACACGTACCAGCAGTGGCTTTTCGTATCCTCTTGGATGTGGAGTATTCGGGCTTCGTCGTCGTAGGGGGGGGTACGATGAATCGGACCTTAACGAGAAGTTCAAGGACACAAAGCAGGACTACAGGCTCATTTACGGGGGATCGCGCAACACTTACAAGGGCACAAGGACAGAAATACCACCTTGTTGCGGGGGATGGCGACGACAAATATCTAAGGACACCAGAGCAGAGCTACCGCTTTATTGCGGGAGCCCCACCACGACTCTTCGGCTGTGTTTGTGTTGGTTTTGTTTTTGTTTTAAAGTCCGCAAGGAGGTACCATGTTTTTCTGACTGTCCGTGAACATTCAGACGGCCCATTGAGTGGTTAACGTCACGCCCCCCTCCCCACCCCCCGCCCCGAGCGCAATTACACGAGCGTGATACATCGAGAGAAGGGAGGGGAGAGAGAGAGGGAGAGATGGCCGCTGTGCGTGTCGGAGTATGTGCCTAACCAATGTGTATGCCTCCGCGTGCCCCCCTTTGTTCTCCCTTGCTTTCGTGTTTCTATCCCCCGGACACCCAAAACAAAACCAAACGCGAACGAACTCACTGAAACCATCAGTATAAGGTGACGGGACGGAGCGGGGCAACCGTGCGGTCAGGAGAGCCGCTCGACTCGCCCATCCAGTGCACCTTGACACCAGGAACAATTGTGGAGGTCACGGAAGTCAAAGGAAGGTGAGCTTGCTCCGTTGTCGGGGTGGAGTATGATGCGGGCAGGGTCACTAACGCTACAACTCCATGCAGTGTGCGAGGACTTGTTTTTCTTTCAGGGGGTCCCGTCGTTTGTCTTGTTCCGAGTATTGGGGTGTGCGTGTCTGCTCGCTGACGCGACTCGACGGCGGAACTCGAGACTCAGGTGTTGGAGTCGTCGTCGGTCGTTTCGATTTCGGCGAACAATTCTCAACGACTCCCATGCCTGTTTGCGCGCTCGGTTGCCCTGTCCGGGGCTATGTGGAAACAAATCAGACCGCAGACGGTCTAGCTTCTTGCAACCACGCCGTTCCTGTTGCTGATTTCGCCCGGTGTGAGCTTGAGAGCCAGCCAAACGACTGCACCAAGTCAACTCGACCTGCGGTGCGGTGAGGTGCAAGTTCGCCGCACCACTCCCCCGTTCGTCTGATGACGCCAAACACTCGCACGCACACGGCTACACGGCCTTTGTCTTGGTGTAACCATGACACCCCGGACAACAATGCACTCCGTCCTCGATCGAGGACGCGTGGCCAACGGTCCAACAAAGCCATGCAAAACATGATTACGCACCCCTCGAGGACGCGTGGTCAATGGTGTAGTAAGCTATGGCATGCAAAAACATGAAGAAAAAAAAAATGCAAATGATGGGTACGCCCCCACCGCCCCTGCGTGCGCCAAACGAACCAAACACCACGCACAGGCGATGCTGCATCGTCAACCCCGTTAAGGGCTGGGGCAGCATCGCCACGGAAAACGGGTACGTTATCATCGAGCCCCTCTCGGCCCGCCCACGGTACCGCGTGGTGTACCCGGAGGGGGTGATCGTGCGGTCCGCCGCCGACATCGACGACAGCGACTTCGTGCGAGTCATCTCGAGGGGGGAGATCGTGGAGGGCACCGGCCAGGTTCAGATGTTCGACAACGTCGAGAGAGTCCAGGTAGGTTTACGCTGGTGTCGTCGTCGTCGTCGTCGTCGTCGTCGTCGTTGTTGGTAGCGGCGGGGGGCCCGTGGTGTCATAGCTGTTGCTGTAGATGTTCGGCGACGTCGAGGAGTTCAGGTGGGTTGGTGTCTGTGTTGTTGTTGGTGCGGCGGGGGCGGGGGGTGGGTGGTGCCGGTGCCGGTGCCGTTGCTGTTGCTGTTGTTGTTGCTGTAGATGTTGGTGCTATTGCCACCGTCGCTCTACATGGTTGTGCGTGTTTTCGTCTGACGCCCAAACTCGTCGCTCGTGTGTGGTGTGTTGGCCGTCTCTGAACTACCAGTTCGCCGTTCCCAGTACAGCAGTACAAATAGCAGATCAATCCCTGTGTGTTTGTTCCTGATGTACTTCCCTCCACCCGCCGCCTATTTTTGCTGTGCTCCTTCCACCCTGCCCTCTTCCGTGTGGTGTCACGCGGCTGCTGTTGCTTCTGCTCGTGGATGGTGCTACTGGTGCTGATGATGCGCGTTGCTGGTGGCGTTTTATTTTGCGCCTTAATGATGGGCCTTTTTTTTTCACCTTGTTGGGGTCATCTTTTTTTTTTTTGCGATGAACCAACCACTTTTAAACAACCAGGTTGCCGACGGCTGGATTAGCATGCGGCTGAGGGAAGATGACGGGGCTCTTGGCGACGTTTTGCTCGAGAAAATCTAATCGTCATTGATTTTTTCCGATGGGATTCGTTTGCAAGCAATAATTTCTTTTCGGTTTCGCGACTGACGCGTTTTTTTTTTTTTTGCTGCTTTCTGCTTGTTGCTGCCATCATTGTCTTGAGGTCTTGTTTTTTGCTTAATTCTCCTTGGGTCCTGTGATCTTGGTGTCTTCGGTTTGGTGTCATTATCCTCACCGCTGTCACGTTTGTTGGTCGCGCGTCGTCGCGAGTATTTGGGGCAGCACCCTTCGTCCCAGCGGGAGGATCGAAAATCGAGGTGTACAGCAGCGACGACCGGCCGAACAAGTTGACTCTCGAGCAGCAAACAGAGAGTAAGAGAGGGAGAGACAGAGAGAAAGCGACTCAAGGCTGTCCTTTCCCTCTCGTGAAGCGAACGTCTAAGTAACGTAGTAGGCATTTTGCGAGGCGGGTGAAGGCAGCGCTCCCGCGACGCGTAGAATTCTTTCGAAGCTCACCCAATCGGGTTCCTCATTGACCGCAAGTTAGAATAGTCCGATGTTTTTTGAAGGTTCGAGGCAAGCCCCCAGCGCTTTGGACAGTCGTTTGTGCCCTGGGGACCTAGTGCAGATAGCACTCGCCGCCTGTTGACAACCCCCTTTTTCGTCTTGCCAGAGCCTTGGTTCTTTGTTTTGTTCCTTTTTATTTTGGTGTATGCCGTTGNGGGGGGGGGGGGGGGGGGGGGGGGGGGGGGGGGGGGGGGGGGGGGGGGGGGGGGGGGGGGGGGGGGGGGGGGGGGGGGGGGGGGGGGGGGGGGGGGAGGCTCGTGACCACACGGGTATCGAGCAACGTGTGCGCTAATCTGCTTTCTTGAGTACCATTTTAGGGAGGACTATGTATGCACTCTCAACAACGGAGTTTTTGGGGTATCCAGGTAGGTAATACACAAGAGAAAGGGGGGGCAAAAGCCGGCACACGTCCGTGTTTTTTTTTTTTTCTTCGTGTGGCAGAATGTGTATCGTCCAGCGTCGTCTTTTCCGCGGCGGGTGACGTTTTTCTGTCCATGATGACTAGGCCGATCCTTTTTCATAAACATTAGCACGAGGGAGGGGAATACTTGAGCACTCTACTGGTTCTTCGTCCACGCCACAACAAGAAGGCCGCAATGATATTCGGGTTTAGTCATCGGGAAGGGGAGGAAGTTGAGGGGTTCTTGAAGCGGAATGCCGTCATCATTCAACCAACTTGTCGTCATCACAAAGGTTGAGGGCCTGAAAGAGACAAGAGATGTTGCTGCCAGCACCTGCTCCACCTAGAGTAAACCGGCCAATTAACGAACGCTTAAGCCACCCCTCGCGCCAACAGCTCGTTCTCGGGCATGAAGAGGAGTATGATGTATTTGTGGGTACCGGACGATAGCTTGTATTATAGGCTACCTCCCTAAAA